TAAAACTTTTGTGAAGTGTATTTTCATTTATGTGAAATAAAAAAATAAAAATTATTTATTTTATTTTATTTGATCTAAAAGTCTAAAATTACTACAAGAAAATATTTTTAAAAGTTGGTAGATTGTATCGAATCTTCAAATACGAATACTAATAAATGATGGTAAATAGGCCCCAATAATAAATTAATAACTGATGATTAATCAACTAATAATATTTGTAATACAATTTTGGATTTGAGTTAACCATGTTTGACTGTATCATTTATAGATAATTTAAAATGATTAATATAGTTAATTGGTTTGTAAACCTTTTTTCACAAGTCATTAATTATCAATCCTTAGTGTGTAATCAATAACCATTTCTAATTCTCTAAAATTCGAATACATTTTAAAGGAAGCTACACATTAGCGTGTGTAGTATCCGTCTTAAAAATGTAAAACATAGCAAAAACTGGATAGTGCAAAAAACAATTGAGAATCTTACAACCATTACTTAGAAACAACATTTTCATCACATAAAAAAAGAACTTTGGCTGTGAGATATCATTTTTATTTTTTCTATATCAGAACTACAAAAAAAGTAATTCAATTAAAAACAAAAAATAATGGATTTTGGAACAATATGAATTTTTTTACATAGGTAATATCAAAAAAATTAAACCATATTTTACAGATAATATTCTCAACTATATTGTTTATTAATTTTAAGTCTGAAATGTTACTATAGCCTGAGTGTTTCAATCCTTAACAAAACAGTTTTTGCTATGTTGCACATTTGTGAGACAGACACAACACATGTTGGGGTAGCCTCCTCTTAAAAAAAAAAGAAATATTTAAAATTCATAACCCTGTATATAATATAATAGAATTTAACTATAAACTTTTCATTTGTTGTAAAAATGTATTTATTTTTTCATTTAAATGAAAATAAATAAATCATCATGATAGTATTAAAAAGTAGAAGGCACCTATATAAGATATGTATATATTTTAAAAACATATATCAAATATGAAAAAATAACACAACTAAATAAGTAATATGAGAAGAAAATATTTAAATTTTTAAATAATAATTTAAAAATAATGTACTTACTCGTCAATTATTGGGGGCAAATTTAAATTTACTGATGGTAATGTTAAATGTCGCACTAATGTAACTKCTGTTCCAATACCACGAACAACAATCCCAGATTCTCCTTCCAAATCAAAATATTGATTATAGCTAAAAAAAATACAGGTATTACCTAAATGATTTGATAGTAAACTATTTTTACATCTATTTACACAATAAACATGTATTAATAGTTTTTAAGCTTAATTTTGATGTAAAGGGATAATATGTTTTATATAATAGTAGGTATTTATTTTTAAATTACCTATAACAATTTAAAAGTAGGACATACAGTAAATATTGGTCATACCAATGCAGTTTACCGGTGAGATTAAGAATATAGTATGCAGTCTTGGTCTACCGGCAATTCACAAATACAATAAGGAGTACACCACAAAATAAAAWTTTTTAAGAAAATACAATTTCTTTAAAATCAAATAATATCATTCCAAAAAAAAAATTAATAAATAAATAAATAAAAAGTTGTTTCGAGTTATTTTTCATCCCTTTTGTTTGCGACTGAAAACTCCTTTTTTTACCTAACATATGTACAAATCATCAAATTTATCTCATTTCCACACTTGTTAGTTATTAGATTAGGCATTTTTATTATTAACCAAAACATTAAAATTTATTAAAAATTGGTGGTTGATTTATCACTAATTATGATTAAATACAAATATTTTTCCATAATAAGAAAGTGAACGTTTGATAATCAAAATAATATTCTTATATTTTGTGATAATATCAATGATATTTTATAGTCACTGTAAAGTGACACTTCTATACAACAAAGTTGCACGGGGAACAAAAAAATATAGGGGAATTGGTTAAATAGAATAACATATTTGTAACAATGATGACTCTCAAAAATAATTCATTAGCAAGAAAATTTCGTTAAATGGAAGTTTGTTAAGTAGAGGTTTTACTGTATGATATGTAGAATAAATGAGTGCCATATTGAGTGTCTGCAGAGTTCACTTTTAAGAAATATCGAAAGTCATAAATTATAAGAATAAAGATTAAACCATAGATAGGTATCTATCAAAGACCATAAGTCTGTATAAAAACCAGCTGGCTACAAGTAAACCACATGCTATAGCAGATGACAACGGCCGGTAGACTGAATACTATAATATGACAGTCGTAAATACTCGTAATTAGTAAAATTCCATTATTTTGAGTACCAATTAGAGATGGTTGTATTCCATACAAATTTAATAACTCATAATTTGCAAATACAACCACCGTTGTGATTCAGTCTAAGTGTTAAAACTAATAATTTATAAGTTATAACTAATTAAGCATTATATTGGGAATCATAAATATAATATTACTTGAATTTTGAGATTTCCAACGCTAATATTATATTTAATGAGTCTGATACATTTAATTTTGKAATATGCATTGCAATTTTAAACACAATGTAAAATAAAATAACTAACCCAATTACAGCATTAGCTCCAAGCTCTAAAACCTTTAAGCCTATACGTCTCTGTACTTCATTAGAAAGCTTTAGAAATATAGTTTGTCGTGCTTCGTTAGTAGCACGAGGAGTACGAATTTTATCTAGCCACTGATATTCAGGATCATCTTCAACTACTAATTCTTCAACAAAGCCATGCACCCATTCTGTATGTGCTGTTATTCCCGCTCCAGCTGTTAAATAAGAATCAATTTAAGAACAATATCTCAAAAATGTTATTTATAAATATATACTAACAGTAAAAAAATTGAATTCCACACGATGATTGACGAAATCTATTAAAATCTGAAAATAGTTCTACTTTTATAATGATATGTACTTCACCTCGAATACCATGCATTGTATCAAAAACGGGAAACCATCCAGATACCACAGATCCCCCTAAAACAATAGTTTATTTAAGAAAAATATCTTATGCACTAAAGCCTCTAAAGGTGTATGAGTATGTATGATTTATACCTGTTGTTTGACTCTGATTTGAAATCAAAGTATCTGATAAAATTTGTTGACCTGATAATTGTACAACTGTTGGCTGTGGTAAAAGTAATGGATTTAAATTGAAATATACTTTTCCAATTGCGTCATTAGCAGAATATGTATCATGATCCATAATTCTAATTTGAAGAGGCTCGTCTTGAAGTTCTATATCATCTAACTGATATCATAAACAGATTTAAATCAAAATACTTTATAAACAAAAAATGTGTGATCATACATTACTCACTTCAAATTTATACCAGTCAGAATTCCACTGAGGATTTAATGACTTCCTACAAACATCAGTCTTGTATGTTGTGCTTCCAAGCTTGACTTCAACATAAGCATCAGTAGTATCACTAGACCGATCCATTACTGGCAAATTTCGTCCAGCCAATACACGTACCTTTACTTTTCCTGGCATCTTATTAATACTAGTTATAAGTTACAGCATACCACTATTGAACAATAACATAACAATACAAAAATGTTTAATTAACTATATGAAACATAAGTGAGTAGTTAAAAATWACTTATTGGACAAGAAAAATTTTTTAGAAAAATTCAATTAAAAAAAAAAATTTTCAAATCATAAGTCTTAATGCAGTTTTGACTATTAAGCAAGCCTTTGTAATTTTGGTCAAAAAATTKTATGAATCATTGGCATCTATCTTATTAAATCACAAAGATAAACAAACAATTTTCACTCACCCACACTAAAAAAAATGCTTACTACTTTATAAAATTAAGACATGGATACAAACTTATAATATTGCTATAGACTAGTGTCCCACATTGTATAGTTCACGGTCAACTAAGTACCAGCCACACCAAGCTAGGGTAGGGTGCGACCAACTCTGTAATGGTAGGAGAGAAAGCATTTCTGGAAATCATTTACATTAGGAACATACTAAATCATGTGAGCAGACGACTATAAAAATGTTCTCATTAAGGGTGCACAGGACGTAGTTTTATGCATCATTACAAAAGTTCTAAGAACCAAGTGTTCACATGTAATATAATAATATATATTCTTAATGTTAATTATAATATCAATCATCGAGGTCTGCAGCTGCATAGGATGCACATTTGGATTGTATGTGGGCGAGTGACATTTCCCGTCAGTCTAGATAATTATACCACATCCGTGAGAACAGCGACAAGAGCAAGTAGACTATGGTGAGTAGAGGGTAGCAGGCACGTATCCAGGGGGGATCCATGGGGTCTGGACCCCCCCCCCCCGAAATTTGATTGTGCACCGGCACATAAAATCATTAGGGCTCAGCAAAAGGTTTTATATATCAATTAAGCATAAAAATTGTACTAACAATTTATTTTGACCCYCCCCCCCAAAAAAAAAAATATAAAATAAAATCCTGGCACCGTGCCTGGAGGGTAGCACTATATAAGGGACCCCGAAACGACCTGTATTCAGACGCAACTTGACCAGACTAGCCAGAGCACGTTCACGCCAGTCTGTTCTTTAAATTAATTAAATTGAACTTAGAAAATATTAGAGTCAAACCGAATTTATTTTAGTCATTCAGAATACTTAAATATTTAAATGAATTTAGTTTTCATGTTATAAATAAATATATATATGTTTTGTCAAAATAAATAATCAAATAATCTAACTAAGAAGAATTCCACGTTGTTTAAATTAATTMAAGAGTCACCTTCCAAACATCATCCTTGACTACTGATACCTGTAGGCGACGTGATCACTACAATATATTTGTACAATTTTCTACCAAAATCACTGGGATATTTATGGGACATCTCTAACATGTATTTTCGGTACTATATACTGTTTAGTATTATTAGAACAGCGATAGTAGAATTCAGAAGAGATACCAAAAAAATCTAGGTATAATGGATAACATTCGTAGATGTGGGATGTATGAAACAGAATAGAATACCTAATAGACAGATTTTTCATCACAGTTGTATTAAACGTGACTGCAGTTAGTATTAAAATCTATAATATCTAAAGTTGATGTGTTGTTTAAATTGAATAATTGAACACATTCAAAAATCATTTGAATTCTCCCATTCAGAAGCTTTATTAAGTAACATAGGAGACGGGACTCTTTTCTTTAATGCTTATCAACTTAAACAATGATCAGAGAATATTATTCCTAAAAGCTAAATACTTAGCAGTGGATTACTATTATTACTAATAAAATGTAAATCAAATAATTATTACCATAGAACAATACCTCTTCGAGGTTATTAATGACACGCTAACAATGCAGGTCAACTCTAAATGTAAATTAACCGTTGAAATTAACATATAAGTAAATTAGATTTGATTCACCAAAAATATAACATTTAAAACAATTCACAAGTCACAATCCATAGACCATCGACTTGATAATAATTAATAATTAATTGAACCGGTTCAAAATTTAAACCTGATAAAAGATAACAAAATAAACAGCTGTTCCTTAACATTGATTTCTTCTAACCCTTTACAATAAAAATTCACAAATTTATCAAATTTGTTCAATATATTGTCTTATCTCGAGTACACTATTGACTATTGAGTTTGAGTAAGKACGTAGGTAATAAACGAATAACTAATAAGGGTACCTATACCCTTAATCCTTGTGTCGGGTTGTATTAAAAATGGGYGAATTGGCCTCTAAATTATATTTAATGGTCCATTAGTTCACTGTCGATTCGTATATTCGTAGAAAAATAGAATCTAAAAACTTATAAACATGATGTTGTTAATTATGTTTGATAATAATATAACAGGTATTAAAAATTTATTATTCAATGGTTTAAATCATGAAGCGGTAGAAATGTTAAATTTTCTTGTAAGAAAAAATTGTTYTGGTTAGGGATGYACCTAGGGGCTAGGATTTTATTTTGGTTGAGGGGAAGCTGAATCATAGACATATAAATATTTATATGTCTATGGGCTGAATAGAAATTTAAATATGTAGGGCCTCGTATGGATAGCAGGGAATACGTATACAGATATACGTCACAAAGCAATAGACACTTGATAATTAATACTTTAATAAATATACTWCAAAATAGCAAACACATACAAAACTAACAATCCGAATATTTACATTAATTATGACTCGAATATTCAGTGCCCGAGAGTGTGTGCAGTTCGGACACTCTCCGCTGAACACGCGCACGGCAACGCAYGCAAAAACAGACTACTACTATTKATTAAGAAAACAATTTAAAAAATTTACTTAATCAATGCTACTACTACGTACTGACTAGAGTACTATACGCAATAAGACGCATAGACCTTATACTCCTATTTATAATACCTTATACTACCTAATATATTATATAAGGTCTAYGACTATAAAAAAATAGACGTCGTTTCGGCGGCACGAGTAGACAGTGTTATCAYTTATCACTACAAATAAACATTTWTGAATARTAATTATTGTACCTATTTATTTTTAAATATCGCGTATAATATACATACGAAAACACGCTTGCGTAGAATCTTAGAATATAATTCATACTTAGATAGGTAAGATAGATATCTATTATCTAATAAAATGTTTAATAAAATTCATAAATTTAGTCACTCTCCTCCTTCACTCTTCAGTGTGCTCACTCAGTGTGCCCTCATTCATTCAGATTGTTATTACTCATACAATTCCAACTATTCATTAGCGTATAAATACTCGTAAATAAAATATGATTATAACTTATGCCACTTATGGTACTCACATAGAATTAATAACTTATTTAAGAGGATGTCAGCACACTTTTTGTTTTCTCTCTCTGAC